TGCCCAGAGAGGCTATGGCTGTCCCTGCATCTCTGACAGTCGACAAGGCCAGGCTGGATGGGGTTTGGAGCAATCTGGGATAGTGGAAGTTATCACTGCTGGCTAAGGGACAGTCTGGGATCAGGTGTCACAAACGACCCCAAGTGTTCCCAGGACTGAGGAGGAGCAGGAGCAGCTCTGGTGAAGGGCTGGCAGGGAGTTCACAGCCCCCTGGTGCCTGATAGCTTTCACTGCATCATCAAGGGGATTGGCAATAATTAGGGTGGGCTCCAAGAGCTGATAGCCTGGCTGCAAGCAATTGAGTGCTGTCCTTCCCTTGGGCTCCTCTGTAAGCCTGGGGGAGAATGTCAAAAATGGGAATTCTCTCCTCAGTTTTCCTTCTTTGGGCACAGGGGCAGTTTTGGCAATGGTTCTGGAACTCTTCCCAAAATGGGAGCAGTTTCTGACAAGCAGCCAGACTCTTCACCAGCACTGCCAGCACTGCCAGCAGCATTCTAGTGCCACCAGTACCACCAGCATCCCTCTGCTACTGGAGGGACAATGACCTCTCAGGGAAGAGAAAGGAGGAATGGTAGAGAGAAGGCAGTTGGAGTATGGGACATTCTGCAGGGAAGGAGTGTTTCTAATCAGAAAAAAATGAGGAGCCATTTCCAAAGTTCTTCACGTGGACTTTTGACATAAGCCAATTCCTTTTTGGCCAAGAAAAAAAAATAATCATGATAAATAACTCTGAGGGAGTGGAGCTCTGACGGAGCTGAAATTGTAAAACAACTTCCACCTGCCCTATGACCCCACTGAGCCTTCGGGAGCAACACCATATCAGGGAACGGAGAAGAGACAGAGAGGCAGGAATGGGGAGCTCCTGGTGACCTGGGCACTTTCTCCTTCATGTCCCTGACCTGGCAGGAGCCGCTTTAGGATCCCAAAGGAGCAAGAGGGACCAGGAAGTGCTGCTGATCTGGACAGACCCCTTTGCCTGCTGCTGCCCCACAGGAAACAGGTCAGGGGAATGTTTGCCTTCCTCCCTACCCCACCTTCCTCTCCTGCAGCAGCTGCTCTGTTCCTGACACCCTCTCCGGGTGACTGCAGGGCCCTGTCCAGCTCCCCTTCCTCTGCCCTGAGTTTACTTTCACATCCCCTGCAGAACAGCCCAACCCTCCCACCTCACTCCTTCCCACTGAACCCTTCCCACTGCAGGGAGCTGCTGAGGAGCCACATGGTCCATCCCTGGATTCTCCAAGCACTGACTGCCCATCCACTCTGACCACAGCCAGGGCCACATCCCACTGCCTGCCCAGCGTCCATCCATGGAGGTGACCACC